TTAATCCCAGAATTAATCAGTAGAGGCATGAGTACTTCACAAGCTGTGTTGGGTGCACACCACTGATGAATCATGGACAACCCAGCAGGGAGCGGGCTGTCCCATATATTGGACTAAGTGTGTATAGAACTAATCAAGCCACTTGACGTTCCCGAAAATGAGATTTTCTGGCAGTATGTCTACGGAACTCAGAGCTCTCGCTAATTACTGTAGTAGGTCTGTACCTTCATGACAGAATTATGATTCTACGCCGTGAGTGTGTAACGGGGGGCGGTATTGGGGAGAGGGTGAGGTGGCATGTGGATGCATGGGCAGCTCCAGGGCAGTGGCAACGCTTCATTTGTTTTTATACGAGTATGTACTGTACATGCGGTTGCAATTAGCTTCTCAAGTCAGGTGTGAACTAAAGCAGCGTTGCCACTGTCACGCAATTCTCACACTTTTAACTGAGTTCTGTACAGTATAAATCCAGGCACGTTGCTTCACCTCGTCTATAAGCAAATAAATATAATTATACACTTTTGAAATCTTCCTGTTACCAACACTTTTCAATCCGATGTATGATTTCGTAATTGAATTAATTTCTGAACTGAAGTTTGTGAAATAATCAGCATATAAATAACATGAAGAATGCAGTCTTCTGGGATGTGGCGCCGTGTAGATATTACGTAAACCGACGTTTCGGAGGAACGTATCGCCTCCATCTTCAGGTAAAAATGTCCGCGAGCGAGGAACCAGCCTCATAAGGTGGCTACACACGTTGGTTCCTCGCTCGAAGATATTTATACCTGTAGATAGAGGGGATAAATTACTCCGAAACGTCGGTTTACACACTATATACATGGCTCTACATCCCAGAAGACTTCATTCTTCATAGTCACCGCCGTGAAAACTTCAAAATTTACGTCTAATTAACATATTTAAGGGTGGAACGTAGACTGAGGGTGTTTGAGGAGAATATTTGGACCGGAGAGAGATGAAGTGACGGGAGGTTGGAGAAGACTGCATAATGAGGAGCTTCATAACTTGCACTCTTCATCAAGAAAAATTAGAATGATGAAGCCAAGGAGGACGAGATGGGAAGAACACGTAGCACGAATGAGGCAAAAGAGATACTCAGAGAGGATATTGGCGGGAAAGCCAGAAAGAAAGAGACCACTAGGAAGACCAACATATAGGTGGGTGGATAGTATTAAAATGGATCTTAGAGAGTTAGGACGGAGGCTTGCGGACTGGATTGATCTGGCTCAGGATAGCTATCAGTGGAGGGTCTCGTGAACACGGCAATGAACTTTCGGTTTCCACAAAATTCTGGGTAGTTTTTAAGTATGTGCACAACTGGCAGTTTCTCAAGAAGGGCTCAGCTTAATAAGGTATTTTAATTCCCAAAATACAATAGAAATTTGTTGACATTTAAAACAATTCTAAATTAAATAACGAATTTATGTTATTTTCAAATTTATATTACAGTGCTTCATTAAACATGTTCAATTCCCTCTCTTTCGTCCGTCATTTCTTTTTCTCTTCCACTTCATTTTTATGTATTTTCTGTTCGTTTGCCCGCGCCTTCTGTGTTGTCTATTCGTCGAGAGGACAACGGGCATGCGCATAAACTGATGAGTCATAGTTATATATCATCTGTAATATACCATTTCATTTGTCACAGATAATAACTAACCAAACCTTATGATATTGTCGTAACGCGTGGCATGTGATTGTGTCGGAAATGAAAATGCGGTTCATGACCTTCGGGGTTTCTGTTCACACCGATTGATGTTCAAATTATTTTTTGTTGAGAGTGACACATTTTGATGATTGGTAATTATAATGTGCTGATATAGGTTAGCCTCGGCCGTCCTAAATCAATAGTGACTGAACTCAGTGGAGTTTATGCTACATGGGTTGTCTTATTAATTTGATTTTCACTTCTCGAAGTATATAGCTCAGTATACATTTTATTAAAGTGACACATTCAGCGGATATTTTTCATCATTTTGTTTCAATTCTTCATATGAGAGAACAGAGATTGAACAAACAAAAATCTAACTCCGTGGTATTAGTCCGCAAACGAACTACAACGACCGAGCGACCGCCGCTTGTCGGTGAACTTAGTGTCAACTTTTGCGGATAGAGGGTGTCACGTGGTCAGCGAAACGAATCCCCACGGCCGTTAATTTCGGTTATCTAGAACGGAGCCGCTGTTCCCTTGAAACAGCTCCTCAATTATCCTCACGAGGCTGAGTGGACCACGTTTCAGAACCACCACTTTTCAGAAAATCTGGTAGCGCCGAGAATCGAACCCGGACCTCTAGATCTGTAATCAGGAACTCTGACCACTTGACCACAGAGGCGATCGAGAAAGAGATTAGCTTCTCCTAATGGACTTTTCAGCCAGGTCACGGTAGCCGAGCGGTCTAAGGCATGCATTGTCTTCGCTCGCTCAGAAGCCGAGATCGTGGGTTCGAATCCCACTCAGGGCATGGATGTTTGTGTGTGTTTTTCTGTGTTTGTCTACAGGTAGAGGCCTTGCGACGAGCTGATCACTCGTCCAAGGAGTCCTACCGTATGTGTAAGATCTAGTGAAGCGAAATGAAACGGGGAGTTTCATGGAGGTAGGCCTAGGCCAAAATTGGGGCTGTAGCGCCACAGGGGGGAAAAAATGAACTTTTCAGAGTACATTTCATGTTTATCAGATAACGGAAAAAGAGCCAGTTTCCCGAATTGTTCTTGAACGAAAATAAGAAGACGGAAAGTATCCAGTATTGCCTATCAGTTCAGTAACACACATTTGTCGGAGCCGTTCACGCTTTTTCTTATAAAGGTCAATTTCTGTCTACTTAATTTTCATTATTTGCTCTTGAAATTCTCCTTAAAGTCTGAAAAGGTAACTGTGGATGATAAAATACGTAATGTATACCCTACTTTTCGAAGCTATATAGAACTGGTTCTAATTCCCATGTACAAATGACGTTTTTTCTCTCTTCAGCCCAGTGTATTGACTTTCAACTCTCCAGCACAGGCAGGGGTCTCGGGCTACGGAAAATGCATTTACTATCCACAGCCACTCTTTTTACCGTGAAACAAAAAATTCCCACTTTTAATTAGTAATGTATCTAAACGTCATTAAAGTGTTTCTCAGAAGAACTGGAGGTTGAATCGAGTTTTTCTGTATGCAAATATATTTAACCAAATAATTAGCATTCACTGGAAAGCACAGTTCCACAGTGCTAAATTTTGTGCCACTGTGCGACTCCTTGATTCCTACCCCCTTCTTTACTTCCTTCCAAGCGTTAGGAAATGTGACTTGTGCCCTAGCCGGCTACTCTAATGAGTAACACAATGAAACGTAAGAATAAATTGCATTTAAGAATGGCTGGTAAATGAAAGGCGAACACTATGTAAGATTTGAGATTTTCACGGCAATGACTATGATGAAAGCAGTTTTCTGGGTTGTGGCGCCGTGTAGATACTGTGTTAACCGACGTTTCGGAGGAACGTATCACCTCCATCTTCAGGGTATAAGAAAAAAGTAAGAAAATCGAAGAGGCTTGGGGTTATTCTCAACATTAGTCTATTTGCACTGCTCACGCTGGTTCTTCGCTTGTGGGGTTTCTTATTTTTTCTTCTACCCTGAAGATGGAGGCGATATGTTCCTCCGAAACGTCGGTTAACACGATATATACACGGCGCCACATCCCAGCAGACTGCTTTCTTCAAAAAGTGAACAGTTGTTGTGAATGCATGTTCTTCACTTCGTCAGTTTGATAACCAACTGGATGTTTGATACTTTAAAAATTAAAGGAGATGACTGAAGTCATGAAATCGAAATAGGGAGAGGTTTCAAAAACTATAAATAACATCAATATTACTTGAAATGGGTCTGTTAAACACCTATTTCTCGAAAACATTTTTGCCCATATCCCTCCCCAAAGAAAAATTACCTATGATGCAACGCGATGTATTCTTCACCATGACTGGTTGAAAAAGATTCGGGCAAAGGGATGTGTAAGGGGAGCCGTAGACTACAAGGCCAGCAACGCGGTAACGAATTATACGGTTTCGGTATCGAAAAGTGCTTCATCGAGCGCTGTGGTGAAGCAGAAATAGTCACTCATGGAGCTGAGCCCTTCTTCAGAAACCGTCAATTGTGCAGAACTGAAGAACTTCCCAGCATTTTATGGAACACGATCACAAGATCACAAGAGCCCTCCACTGGTCCATATCATGAGCCAGATCAATCCAATCCGTGCCATCCCATCCTATTTCCCTAAGATCCATTTTAATATTATCCACCCACTTACGTCTTGGTCTTCGCAGTGGTCTCTTACCTTCTGGCTTTCCCACCAATATCCTATATGCATTCCTCTTCTCCCCCATTTGTGCTACATGCCCTGCCCACCTCATCTTCTTTGACTTGATCATTCTAATTATTCTTGGAGAAGAGTACAAGTTATGAAGCTCCTCATTACGCAGTTTTCTGCACTCTGTTACGTCATCTCTCTTCGGCCCCAATATTCTCAACACCCTGCTCAGTCTATGTCCCTCCTTTAATATCAGACACAAAGTTTCACACCCATACAGAACCACACGCAAAATTATAGTTTCGTATAGAAACCGAAATAATATACAACAAAAATGGAGACCTCTAAACCTGCAGAGCAAATTAATTTCTTAATCTGTCCCAACGTAACAGCCTAATTTATCGTAACGTATGCTTATCTAACCCTTACTGAAACCTGTGTCTACTCGCTATAAAATAAAAGTTTGTATCTAGCAGCATATCAGGGCGGGGATATTTTTTAGAATCTCGTGAGTAGGAGAGTTCGGGCCGCAACATCAAACCGAGGACATCTACAAAATGGAAGACACTTCAATGGCCAGTAATGTTGTATGTGGTAAGTTTCATTGCATTGTTAGAACGCACATGTGAACTACAGTACCTTGTCACTCTTCTCCTTCATAATTCCGGGTCAAGCTGTCTGTCTCACTCTGCCACTTACCCATCTAGGAGCATTTCCCCTCTGTTTTTCACCCAGTAGTTGATAGTATTGGGAAACGCCTCAACGTGGCACTCGAGGGATACGTTGGTCCCAAGTGGCGCCCCAAGCAGCTGATTCAGAACTTTGACAACAGGAGCAACTGCAGAAAGGAAAGATAACAAGCTTAACTCAAATACATCCACAGGGAAAGGAGCAGTTCATAACAATATTACGCTGTTACACTGTTAGCTCTCCTTACATATAAGTAAGTTTGTTTTTCACCGGAAATTTGTATAACAGCTAAGAACCAGCTGAAATTTACATTACAGTGCCCTCTCGTTTGGTATTTCCGTACAGCGAAGGAAGTTCTTTTCCTCGATTTGCATATACTGGGATCTGTAGGAAAATAATGAGAACACACTGAACAATTAAAAGAAAATATATTTGGTACTGACATGGTTATTTGTCTTGCATTTTCATAAGCCAGGAATGTAAATAAATTATTTTGTATGTAAATACGAGGTCACTGGTGTTTCTACCCTGGAATTGTATGGTGTTTTGGAAGATCAGCGAAATAATATTTCGAGTTGTCTGTAAGAGTTATGACTAATTACTCGTGATATGTTACAATAGTTTGCGACGAGCTGATCACCCGTCCAAGGAGTCCTACCGTCTGTAAAATGATCATGAAACTGAGAAATCAGCCCTATGCTCCATAGTGGGAGCAAGAAGAGAGAGAGAGATGATACCATAGCTGTATATATATTTATATAAGCAATATATAAAATATTTACGAATATCTAAAGTAGTTCCAAAATATATTGACTCTTCCTCTCATCAGATTGAGCCAGACCTAAAAAGAAAACCTAAGCTATTGTACTTTGCTAGCAGTTGTACCTGTCAGATTGTTTCATGGTTTGCAGGAGAATTTCTAGCATCGAAGCACTGAAATAAAGAATTTTCAAGAAGAAATTTAATATCACCATTATATGGAATATCGGCTGTTCGAGTGTTGTGTTTAGAAGTCAAACAAGTTAATTATTCGTAAGGTGTAACACAAACGCTTTGCACACATTGGTTTAACTCTTTCGCGCTTAACGAAAGACTGGGTGTACGAAGAATGTTCGGCTAGAACTGCAACGATCTCATCAGACCAAAGCCTGGACACTCATTTATAAAATTACGAGTGAATGAAACTAACTCTGTGGAGAAGAGTTCTTCTTGTGGAGTTAAAAACCACTCATTTTGTCAGGTAATTCCCGCCTCTTATGGAAACCGAAAGCCTGGCCCCCTAATTCTGTGCCCGCAATGCCATTAAGATCCATTTTAATATTATATTTCCGTACACATACGCGTCTGAAGCAGTGTGATGTAGGGTTTTTGGAATGCCTCTTACATGTGGAATTTAAAATGGATGCGTTCCCGGAACCGATAGACAGACAGACAAGCAGGGAGGCAGATTAATAAAGAGATAAAATATCCGCTAATCGTAAACTCCATGCAGATTGTGAGATCTGAGTTTTCCCCAGTGGGGATCATGAAAGTAGCTGCTTTGTCGGATGAGATTTGGAGTAGCGTTGTTGGGGAACGCTGCCGAGAGTTGTTTATTGCTGCATAGCAACCGCGGCATCCCCCTTTACGTCACAGCGGGAGAGGGGCGGATTGTTGACTGGCCTGTTACCATAGTAGCAAGAACAGCCTGCAAATAAAAGGAACGGGAATGTAACGCTAGGCTATTCGGGACGAACAGCCTTAAGAAGGGAGCAGTGTGACGTACTGCGCTATGGAGGACATCCCCTCCCCCGCCAGCGGTGACGTAACATCGGGCTCTGTCGCTACTACGGTAACAGGCCAGTCAACAATCCGCTCCCTCCCCCGCGGTGACGTAGCGGGGGATGCCGCCGTTGCTATGCAGCAATAAACGACTCTCGGCAGCATTGCCAGACAACGCCTTTGTAAACACGGCATTACGTAACAGGGGAACCCGTGCAGGGACTGTTGCTAGGCAATCGGTAAACATGACGTCACATAACAGTGAAAGCTATCACGAAACTCTTTTCTGTGTTGTCAGTGCAGAAGCTACATAACAGGAGTATTAGTCAGTGAGTAGTGAGTGATTAGTGAGTATTTAGTGAACCAGTTACTGAAGAAAAAATAACCAGTTAGTTAAAATGTAGCAGCCGCCGAAGACAGTTGAAGTCTAGCATTCGCCGGAGTGAATGACTACATGAGAAGTATTTGTGATACTGCCAATAGCAGTAATTGTTAGATTGTAAATTGTGTGATTGTAAGAGCGAGCGTTCAATAAATTCGCTATATCAAACAAGGCGTGAAGTTACTTGCCGCGTTATGCACCCAGCACGTGACACTATTATACATTATATTGTATACTCATTACGATATATACTTATGTATATATTTACCACTGTTTCAGAGGAACATGCTGCCTCCAACTTCAGGGTTTAAGAGGAATATATTGCTTTCAGTGTACCTTGTAAAAAAAAGATGGAGTTAGCATATTTTTCCAAAACGTTGGTAAATATCTACCAGACTTCATGGAATCATATTTCATAAGACAGTAATCCCATGATGTTCTTCGGCCTTGTGTTTGTCACTGATCTCTTCTGTCAGACGGAAGTAATGCTATGTGTCATATAGTAAATGTAATTAATGTTGTACGGACGACAGTTTTGTGAGGTGACTGGTAAGTTTTGTAAGTGTTCATTGCTGTCTGTGAACAAAATGTTCGTCTCAGTGTCGCTCCCGTCAAAACCTACATTATGAAGTGAAAGGTCCTTTGGACATGGATATCCCACCTTGAAGCATATCGCACGAGAGGCGCGCTTTTCTTTCTTCGATCTGCTCCGTACATTGGTAATACATATGAATTTGGCACTAACTTCGCCGACAAACGGCAGTCCCTCTGTCGGTAGAGTTCGCTTGCGGACTAGAACCACGGAGTTTTTTGTTTGTTGTTTGTAAATGTGTGGTAGGATTATTTTACTAAAGAATTGGCATGGGAGTATTCTTTGTAAGAGGCATATCAATTTAATGTAAAGTGCAACCAGTCTTCATCTTGGGCCTTGATGCGGCCTCTCACTATTAAATTGTTATCAGGAAGCCTATTGAAAGAAGTACGAAGCTGTACGCAAAAGTATATTTCGAATAAAACTATAATTTATACAAATCACTAGAGAATGGCCTGTTTTATTTCGCATCGTAAAGTAATGTAATATCGGACATATATGAAGCATTTAAATTACCTTAACAATTGGTAAATCTAAACCACTGTTACCCGAGTGTGGATTCAGACACTTGAAATAATGTAAGGTGAAACATAAATGTCTCTACCCAGAAGAGTATGAACTTAGGCATGTAACGTTCACGCTGGAGGGTCGACAATCTAAACAAGAACTGGAATATGTTCTCAGAACCCTCATAAAACAGTCTGGATTGTTTGATTTTTCTTAGAAATAAAGAATGGGCTCTTTATGACAGAGCGAAATTTGCCCCTCCGTCTGTGACCGACTGTGAAGTTTGAAACCGTTGACAAGATTTTTTTAAAAATTCGATATAGGACACTTGTAATTGTAGTTTTCGGATCATTCCAATTTGGAATAAAATCGGATTATTATTGGATGTTATGAGGAAGATCTATTTGCTTTTCTGTTGTTATATCGATTGTGCAGATATTGGAATATTTATCGAGGCGAAATTTGCTTCAAGTGAAATTTATAAAGGTAGATGACACATGTACCGGTCACGGTAGCCGAGCGGTCTAAGGCATGTACTGTCTTCGCTCGCTTGGAAACCGGAATCGTGGGTTCGAATCCCACTCAGGGCATGGATGTTTGTGTGTGCATTTTTCTCTGTTTGTGTACAGGTAAAGGCCTTGCGACGAGCTGATCACCCGCCCAAGGAGTCCTACCGAATATGTAAGATCTAGAAAAACCGAAGTGAAGGGAGAAGTTCATGGAGGTAGGCCTAGGCCCACTGGGGCTGTAGTGCCAAGGGAAAAATAGATGACACATGCATTTTGTGTCCAATGCACGTTTTCCGAATTTCTGGATTTGGGTTAATGTAACAAAATCTTCCTGTTGCTATATGTCTTCATATTAGGCTCACCTCTTGGCCTTATTTCGATAAAACTTTATATTCCAGAATCTTGCACAAATTTGTTCAAAATCGTGCCTGTCCGTTCGTCTGTTTATCTGTACCCTTATCTGTCTGTTCGTCCCCCTCCTTATTGTTCAATATCAGGGCTTAAACCTTCTGGCGGCAAATTTTTTAATACTCAATATAGTTGCCTTTCACCAATGTCAAGAAATTCCGATTTTCATTCTATTAGCTCATAATACAATAAACTGTCTTTGATGTATAAATGGATTCTTATCTGCACATCATAAATCTTTAGTTATATTTTATAAGCAGTCTTCAAGTAAGAATACTGAAGTGTAAAGAAATTGTGACTTGTTTGAGTTACATTATGAACTACACTCATATCAGCTTGAGACGATCAGAGATCCATATTGAAATACACAGGTCGAGATGTGTGTTGCGCCAGAAGGTTTTTATGGTTTCTTAAAGTAGTGACGCTTGTGGTTGCACTATAAAATAATTCTTAGTTGAGTGACTATTGTTAAAGTAACGTAAATATTTAGGCAGAATGAAGGCCTACTTACAGTTGACGTTCAGTGTAATCCGCTTGCTGACTGCTGGAGGTACGTCGTTTGAAGCGATGCAGAGGTAAGCACCCATTTGCTTCCTATCCAGCTTCAAAAGCGTCAGCGTGTCTCCACTGAACGTATCCTCTGAAACAGAGATTCAGAGTTGTTTGATCTCCACCATATGGAACCTCATTCGCTCAGCGACAAACAATCTGAATAGGCTTACAGGGGTTGGATTCCAAAGACGACAGAATTAGATCCCTTATGAAATGATATCTCAACATTTCGTCACGCGTAGATTCTAAAAGGCTCTGACGATGGTGGATTACACACAGAATTACTGGGTTTTTGGACTTTTCTCATCGTCCAGAATTCTAGAAAAATAGAGGACACCTATTACCTAGAATTCCGGACGATGGGAAAAGTCCAAAAACCCAGCAAGTCTGTATTTCGTCACTCGTTGAATCTTCCTTCATGCCATAATGTACAGAGGTCCCCCTTATGTTCTTGTTTTACATTTAAATATGCAATGAATCCGACTGTACAAAAACAAAATAAATAGTTACTTAAGATACAGACAACATTATCGAAGTTTATGCTGTATGTATTACTTTCGTGTGAGCTCTGTTTCTACCTATTTCCAGCCTATAATTCAGTTTCCTCTATGTGAAAACCAACACATACTGTTTTGTGACGAAGAAACACATGTCATGCGAAGGTCTGTAAGTAGGTAGGCCGCTAACTATCTAATTTGGGGCTCTTCTCAACCCAACTAATATCTGAATTACGAAAGACACAATCATAAAACGAATGTTTGTTAATAACTCACACGTATAAAGGAGATAATTTTTTTTTTAACAAAAACGTATCGTGACATGTAGTTGGTTGAAAAATCACGATTTTATAAACTTGAAGAGGTGATTGCATCGGCTTGCAGCAAGATTAGACATTGCGCAATTCTCCGAAAACCCAGTATAAACGGCACGAGAAAGCGTGTTTGAATAAACTGGGACGTAACCAACTAATTTTATTGGCCGCGCCATAGCTCAAGCGGTTAGTCGCTGGCTTCCCACCGCGGCGGCCCGGGTTCGATCCAGGATCTGGTCAAGTGGGATTTGTGGTGGACAAAGTGGCGATGGGGCGGGTTTTCTCCGAGTACTTCGGTTCCCCTGACAATCTTCATTCCACCAATTGTTCCACAATCACCCTCACCTATCATCTGGGGCTGGTACAATAGGCCAGAAGTGGCTGCAGTACAAGGGACTAAGTCCCACCCTGCTAGAAATAAAAAACTAATTTTTTATTGAGCGCAGATTTCTTGAGATGCCAGTAGTGACTCAGGCAACAAGAAAATCTCCATCTTTTACTGAACAAGAAGGCCCATTATTGTGTTTATAAAAACCTGCCAATATACTGCATCTAGAGTCAGATGGATCCATTTCATATCCTTATACCACATTTCCTTAAGATCATTTCAACACTATTCTCTCATCAATTTCGAGATCTCCTAAATTTCTCTTCTTCTTTGTTTTGGAATAAAATTTTGTATGCATTTCTTATACCTCCCCTACACGTACCCTATTCCTGTGTCGCTCTCCTTGCTTTGATCACGTTAATATTTTGCGAAATTTCAAACCACGACGCTCTTCATTATTCATTTGTCACCATCTTACTTACTTTCTCTTAGGCTTTAATATTCTTCACGGCGCCCTTGTTGTATTTTATTATCTTGGGGTGAGAAATCGGTGCTGACATCTATAGAAGCCAACAGGTAAAATTATATATGTTGTACATTTTAATCTTTACATCTTCATGAACACTGCTTAATTTTATAATGTGGTATCCTTAATGGCAGGTCAACAGTTACCGCTCTGTAATGTGTGTGAAAATTCGAGAGAGTTGCTGTAGTTAAATCTTCGCAGCTCTCTCTCAAGTCTGTAGCGAGCGATTTAGCAAGGGATTGCGCCCTCTGTAGGCTGCTCAAGTAACCAACCATTTACTGAAAGAGGATTAAGGGCTGGGGAGGATCGGACAACTCGGTCCCGTCAGTGGACAGTCCGACTTTACACAGGAGAGAATGTACTTAACAAATGTTCGCGGTAGAATTACTGGGCTGAAATTCTGTACCTCAGTTTAGCTTTTCTCTATATGTCATTCTGGGATATTCAGAGAACAAAACAAATTTTACATTTGCATTAATTTGTCGAATAATAAGTAAAAATGTACAGGTTTGTCACGATTAATTTATGGTTCTGACAGGTTAGATAAGTATATGACCTGATATAATTTTATCAGCATTTATGTAACTGAATTCCTTTTCTTTAACTAGTTCCTTGTATAATTTTGCTTAAAAAGATTTCTTCTGTCAAACATTTCTACAATGATTACAGTATCCTGTTGCACTGCATAAATCTGACTTTGTTTATCCTATTATACCGTGTATATGCAACTTCGGTTACTATTCACTCATTGTTTTTCTTTATTAACACTACTCGTGACAATAGCATGCAGGCGAATGCAGTGTTTGCAGTAGTGACTTCCTGAAGCGTGTACAAGTAGATTAAGTGTAGAATTATAGTTATGTGTAGTTACGTGTTAAGCATTTAGTGAATCCTATTATCAGTCAAAAAAAAAAAATGTCTGGTCACTAACTCGTGACAATTTCATGGATAATAGTAATAAATAATAATAAATAAATCATAATAAAAAATAAAAATAATATGTAGACCCATTGCTAGAGAACGAGTTGATAAACGCGTTTCCATAAAGATGGATTCTTGAAACAAAGGCGACGTTTCCGTGGATACTGGTAGGCTGTGTAACAGGAAATACAGATGACAGTGTAGTCAGCAGTAAATCAGAATTGAGTCGGTCGCAGTTCAGACCAGAATAGAGAGAGAGAGACCAGACTGGAACCAGTAACAGTTCAGTCAGACTGGGGCGAGCCCTAAGCGGTCATTTATTGTGAGTTTTTGTAGGTTATTGTGATTACGAGTGATTGTACAGAAATGTCAATATCTTGTGACGCTTTGTTAACCAGCTATAGTATAGATTATAGTCTCGGAAATGATAGGTATATGTCAGGCCACGACGTACGGATATGATATCTTGATGTTGCAGCTTTCGTCAGAAAAAGAATAGGCTCATCAAGTAAGCCAGATAGGTGAGCATTGCGTATATCGTTATGACTGTGGTACATATTGGTTTAGTTGAATACGTATTCAGTACCTCAGTGAATCGCGACTGTGAGGGTGCGTAGAAGACGGAGAGAGAAAAAGGCTGTGAAAGGAGACAGATGGGGAATATGGAGGTGTAGGGAGCTTTCTGGTTCCCGGAGGTTAATATTAGATGTTCAAGCAATAATCTCGTGAAGCCGCGTCCCACTCCACCCCACCATGTTCGTCGAGGGCGGAGATCTCATTATGCAAGTCCGCCGGTATAGTACAAGACGGAACAAAGTAGGCTCAATCTGATGAAACGCTCAGGGAACGGAAAGTCACAGTGACTGAACAGAGAAAACAATGCAGGCTGTGTAATCATAGCCAAAACTGAGTGCGTCGATTTAACGTACCTTGGGCTCAGGTAACCGTAACTAAGCTCACGTTTTTATCATTGTTAGAAGCCGTCACTAACTTCATGGAGCATAATTCTTTTTTTCAAAGCAGTAGTCGTTCAACTGCTCAAAATTTTCTCACTTTTGATGGAACTCGAAGGTTGTTTAGTTTTCAAGAATTCCCGCTCATGCCTTAGGTTCTAAAATGTTAGTTCTTTATGGAGAAGATTTGTTACCCCTACTTCCACACCCCTTCCCACAAGGTTATTCTTTATCTCCCGTCCGCATACGAGGACCCTTTGCTAAAAGAGCGAAGAAACTGAGGTTAAACAGGAAACAGCTACGATGGGTGGTAGGACTACTTACAGGACAATATCACCTTAAAGGACACCTCTTTAAACTGGGACTAAGTGATAGTCCCACTTGTGAGAGGTGTCAAGAAGAAAATAAAACAGCCACACATATCCTGTGTGAATGTGAGGCCTTAGCTTATTTAAGATTACGTCATTTGGGTAAATACTTTATGGAACCAAGTGATTATTTCGACGTTTCCACGTATAAAATCCTACGCTTCATTCGAAGTGCAGGATTGTTGAGGGGATAATCAAAAGGGGAAGCACAATAGTTCACTGTAGATCTCGATGCAAGGGCCGAGAAGGTCCACCCCTTGCACATTCCTTCCTGTCCGTATCTGTTTATTCAGTATATTCACAGATAGGCTACATGTCTGCATAGCGTCTGAGGACACACCGTTATGACATGTGACCTAGTCAGCATGAAGTAGGATGCCTCGATGTGAAATATACTGGGAACAAAGAGAATTGTCCAACAGAATTTGATATATTTTAATATTATCTGTGTCAGCTTGAATGAAGGATTTTCGTGGTCACATGAATGGATCCCCACTGTCCGTAAGGAAAAGGATACATCTTGACCAACTGAGCAGTTGTAAACCTTTCAAGAAATCTTGTACTTCGGTATATATACTTTGTAATGAACAGGCCCAAGTTCCCACAGTTTTCTGAATTTATGTTCTTAAGCATTCGTTTAAGTTCTGAATGTTTCGGCTATATTAGGGGCCATCTTCAGTGTTGCACATTCTTTAAGTTTCATAGTGCATACATTACGAAAACTGCGAGTGTGCAGTCCTACCGAAACTTGTCTGAACCGATAAAGATGTAGACCTAATTCTATATGAAAGTCACGTGGAACAGCCTTTTTTCGGGCTGATGCTGAACAAAATTAAATTCTCCCGGAAACGTATAGGGTAAACCCTCTATTACCTACTTACTTATAGAGCTGAGCCCTTCTTGAGGGGAAGCCAATTCTGCAGCTACTCAAGAATTTCTCAGCATTTTGTGGAACCCGAAGGTTCATTACCGTGTTCACAAGAGCTCTCCACTGATTCCTATCCTGAGCCAGATCAATCCAATCTATACCATCCCATCCTTTCTTTCTAAGATCCATTTTAATATTGTCCACCCAATTAGGCCTTGGTCTTCCCAATGGTCTCCTTCCTTCTGGCTTTCCCACCAATATCCTACATGCATTCCTCATCTACCCCATTCGTGCTACATGCCGTGCCCAACTC